TTTTGGTATGAGTTCTGAAGTGAGAACGAATATTAAATCTAATATTATAAAAGCACATAATAAAAGTGACCACATACTTAAAGTGATATTTGTGAGAGTCTTTAAAAGATTTATTAACAAGAATATGAATACTATTATTTCAAAATTATTCTAAAGATAGATAATAATAGTGTTCTTATTATGACTAGCTAGAATATAGTCCAATTTCAATATGTGATTTCAAGATAGATGTAATATTTAGTTTATTAAAATAAATTAATAGATCTTAATCAAGATCTATTCTACAAGAGAGATTTCTTAGAATTCTCTTAAAACTATAATCTACTAAAATGCAAGTTGAGAACTAAACTCATAGAACTCAAACTAAACTAAATAACTAATTATCTGACTATTTAACTGTCTGTCTAATTCACTAGCTAAGATATATCACTTTTATATATTTTAGAAATTATATAAATAATACTTTTATTATGATACTTATGCTAGTTTTACTATGATCTAAATATTACTTTTGCTAGTATCATAATGTTGATTTTATTATAATAGTATTATTAGTTTTGCTATAATAGTTTTGTTAATTTTGCTATGATAATTTTGCCATAATCATTATGTTTGTGAAATCTTCTAAAAATATCTATAAATAATATTCTCTAAAGCTAATGTCCAATAAGTTATAAAGAATTATTTACCTAATCATATTGTGATATGAAGCAATTAATAATATAATTAACTAATATTCTACTAAAAGTTCATATTACAACAATATATTTATCTATAACTTAATTTTATATTAATTATTTTTGTAATTGCTATATTTAGATTATTAGTGTTAGATCTATTAACATAAAAAATAATCTTAGATTTCAAGTCTTTTATAAATTACTTTATATAGTAAGTATTTAAATAAATATTAATCTTTCTAAGTAATGTTTAAATATCTTCTGTATATAAGATTATATTCTTATTTACTTCTTATATTCTTAATCATAATTATTATTATCAAGTTAAAATTTAAATATTTATTCTAAATTGATTAGTGAAAAAGTTGTAAAATAAGTTATTATTTTTATTATCATTTTAACTTGTTGACTAATTATTATTTGTAATCTTATTTTATTAAAATTAAGTAACTATATCTTCTTTTAAATAAGTAGATACTATTTCAATTTTTTTTATTAGTAATATTATTAATATTAGCAGATTATTTAAACTCTTTAATCTAACTAATAGAATTTTTATATACTTCTCTATTATAGATAGAAAGAAATACTATAATAACTCAGTTTATCTGTTTTATTAAGTTATTATTACTATTATTAATAGATTTAGAGCTTGAACTAGTTATTGTATAATATTTTTTGTCATCTTTTCTTGATTTCTTTGAGATAATAGCTAAGATGAATCTAAAATAATAGGATTTTGAATTTCTTCCTCTTCAAATTTTTCTTTTCTTATATTTCTTAATTAAATTAGAACTATTTTTCTTTTATTCAAGAAATTAGTGAAAAAGATATTAAATATTAAAACTGAAGTTAATAAAAATAAAACTGAAATGAGAGTTCTAATTGAGATATTAATTGAAATATTAGTTTTTGATTATTAAGTATAATATAATCTTTATTAATTAAATATAATAATTTTCTTATATAAATTATAGATAATACTAGTTGTTTAAATAAAAATATGAGATAAATATTTTTAAAATTATAATTTTAATTGATACTTATTTATTAAAATTTCTTCTTTTAATACTTCTACTATAAATAAGTTACTAACTAATTAGTATAATTCTTTTTTCTTGAATTTATTTAACTGAGATGAATCTAGAATATTAATTAATCTCTAAAATTTTCTTTTTATTTTAATATTAGTTAATTTAGTTAAATCTAGCTTAAATTGATTTATATAGTATTATTTTCAAATTTTAATTTATTATTTATAGAAAGAATATCAAAAAGACTTACTATTTTAAATTTATATATATATAAATATTTTAAATAATAAGAGTGATTATATTTATAATAATTATTTACTTTTATAACTTTAAAAGATAAATATAACTAATTATTTTCTCAATAAAATAATTTATATGAGTTTTACTTTTAATAAAATACTCTCTTAATAGAGTAAAAAGAAATAAAAATAAGATATATAATAAAATATATATATTTATTATAAGAAAAATATTAGTTAACTACCCTTAACTTAGTAATTAACTACTTTTATCAAACTTTATTATTCTTTTTGATTACTTCTTGACTTTTTATATATAATATTTTTCTTACTATGCTAATTACAAATTATTTTTAACATAATATTCTATCTAATTTATTTAAAAATAAATAGAATCTTAAAAGAATTATTATAAAAAATATTTTTAAATTAAAATATAAAGTAATTAAGAATTAAAATTAGTAAAATATTAAAGATATTTAAGATTAAAGAAAGAAAAAGAAAAAAAAGAAAAAAAAGAAAGAAAAATTAATAATAGTTAATTAAAAAATTATTAATTTAATAAAACTATAAATTAAATATGATACATATAACTAAATAAATAAAAGAGTAAAATTAAATATAAATAATAAGATAAATTAAAAATAAGATTAAAAATAAATTAAATTAATTAATAATAATTTCTTATTTAATTAATAATTAATAATTATATCTCATACTATAATTATACTATATATTATACCTACTTTTATTGTATTATATAAATAAATAATTAGTTATAATATTACTATTTTATATGATTTTAAAGTAATTTAATTTCTTACATTAAATATTATAAAAAATATTTTATAACTTAATTATTTTTAGATTTTAAGAGATATAATCAGAAGATAATATAGATTTATATAATTATTTTGAAGCTAGTATAATAATATTGATTTCAAATATTTTATATTTAATATGGTAAGATTTATCTTTATATTTTTTATTTATATTATTTTTATTCTTATGATTTAACTTGCATATTAGATATGATAAATTAATATTAATCTTATAATAATTAATATTTTTTTTGCTTCTATAAGTTAGGATATTGCTCTAATATTTTATTGTAAAAATTAGTATAATTATGAATTAGATTAGATAAAGATACAAATAATATATTTATTTTAGTATTTAATAAAAATTTATTATTCTTACTTATTATATCTGTCAAATTAAAAGTATATAATAATTAAATAGAGAAAGTAATTATGATACTTATCTCTGTTTTTAAATCTTTATTTTTTTTACAAGAATTTTATCAATTATTTCATAAACTTGATTTATAAAGTTGAATTATATATATTAATACATAATTTTTCTTACTATTCTGTAACTTAGTCAAAGATAGACTTATACTAATAATATAATCAAAAATACATTATCTATAATATACTAAATTTTCTTCTTTATTAATATACTATTAGCAAAAAAGAAATAAATATAATAAATTTTATCCATACTTATTATATTAAAAAGTTTATAAAGCTTTTTTACTTTTTTAATTTTCTTATATAAAAGACTATCAAAAATATCTGCAAATAATTGTACTTTTACTTCTTTATTTAAAAATTCTATTAATAGTATTGAATTCTGAATTAACTTATTTTTCTGATACTATTTCATTATATCTTTAAATAAGAATCTTTTCAAATAGATAATAATACATAATAACTTCTTGAATTTTATGATCAGCAAGAATTATAATATTACAAAAATTTTATATAAAAACATAAAGTTAATATTACTAGGTTAAAATTTTATTTTATTTAGAATTATAAAAGTTATATCCCTATTTATATTAATTATCATTAGCTATATCTCTTTCAGAGATAATAAAATTGATATATTATAATTATAAACTAGAATTTTCAGAAACTTCAAATATAAATTTCTATACTTTATTTTTACTAGATTACAAAATATTATCTTAAGATCTGAACTTCTTTTCTCAATTTCTTTTTCTTATTTCTTTACTAGCCCTTTTCTTTTCTTTCAATATCAGAAAATCATTCTTTTCTTTTTCTTCCAATGATTTGACATCAAAAATAGATATGTTAATAAGAATATTAACTAGATTTATTTTTGAAGAAATAACACTTTGTATCTGCTCTAAATTTCTAATAAGTGGAGTTATTTTTAATTTCAAACAAGCTAAGAATGAATTGGAGATTTGAAATTTTGCTTCTTGTGAATTTTGATTTCCTTGATATCATCTAGTTTAGCAATAAGGTTAGTTTTTTCTTTATCACTCTGCTCGAGTTTCGTAAATCTAGACTCATAATCTTTCATATCCTGTCTTAATTTTTCATTCTCAGTCTCGACCTCAGCAAACTTTCTTCTAAGTTCGGGAATCTCGTCATTTTCTTTTCTGAGCCTAATAATCTCAGCCAAGAGCTTGGAATTCTGTTCTTCTAATAAATCGATTTTAGATTGTGTTTGCCATTGTTTTATAAGATGCAGATGTAAGAGCATTCTCATTCCATGAGAAAATCTGAATTATTCCGCATGACAATTTGTCATGCCGATCACTTTTGCCAAGAAAAAAAATTAATCGCGACTACAGAACATCGTATCGCTTTTTTAATCAACCGTGATGGACCGTGATCGCAGAGTGATATTATAAATATATAGGAAAATTTTCGAGAATTGGGTCTCATTGAATAAACTCAACTTTAAATGCATTTGCGGTTTACTAATCATAAAGTTTAAGCAAAGAGTGAGATTATACTGATGCATGTGTAAAGTCGAATATATATTAATTGCAATATATAAAACAATCAAGATACATGTATAAGAATAAATGTACAGTCGTTTACTATTATTACTGCTCCTGACCCAATTAACTTTAGCCTACAACTTCGAAACAGATTTTAAATTGCTTATATAAAATTGTATAACGATAGATCTCTTTATTAATAACAGAAAACTATACGTGAAAAAATAACGCGATCACATATAATAGTCAATTGAATCAACTAATAAAAGATGATCTTGAGTTCTCCTCAAATGATAAGAAAGAACCTATTATCTACCCCGAAATCACTTTTTCGTACTCCCACCTTTGTTAATATCCACGCTGTTCCAATCGGTTGTAGCTGTGCATTAGGAAGTTGAGCTTGGCGGGAAGGAGAATCATAGAAGGCATTAGGGAAGAGATTATAAATATTGTCGCGTACAGTATAGAGTTCGGCGACATCTGCGAAGTGGAAGACACAACGAGAATTCTCATCTCTACGCCTATTTTGAAGACCATTGGTTGCAAATCCATCCATAACTGTATAATAAGCCGGCCAACCCTGCTGATTGATCCAAGCTTGATTTGGAGAAATAATAAGAACAGGGTCGAGATTTTTCACACCATCAAGTTGCTTCTCGTATATTGTAATTTCTTTATCGGAAGCTTGCGAAAAAATAGTTTTAAGCGCCTTGCGGGTAGATGCGAAGTTAGCGTATTCAGACATTCTAAAAATAATGTGAAAATTAGTGATCCTTTGTTAACTATGATGGCCCGGTTAACATATACACTATACTTACTCGTTGGATGAAGGAGAAGTAGTGTTGCTTATTGAACAAGGTGTAATTGCTATGTAAAAAGTATTTAGGTTATATAAATTGTGAAATCTAATCTAATTTGATTTATTGATATCGTAATTATCACCTTTCCACAACTGTATAGTACCAAATACAATGGCTAAGATCGAGGCGAAAAAGGCGAAAGGGAAAGCCTAAAGAATGTGAAATGGAAATAAGTCAGGGAGACAACAAAGGAGGCAACAGGGTTGTTAACAAAGTTTGCAAACCAGCCAGCCGAAAAATGCACACACTGGAGGTATCGTAGCGTAAGCAAACCAGGCGAGGGGTGAGAAAAACATTTCAACTTTTTTTTATGGTGAAAAAAAACCGGTTTTGAGGATTTCTTTGATGCTCGAAATTACGTGTTTTATTTCCCGATATATAACCACACGTATGTCGTATCTATTTTAGGCCATGGAGCAAAATTTATTAAATTTTTTTAACGAATACAAATACAGTGATTAATGAGGCGCAGTGGTCACGCGATCGGCAGAGGATAAGTCATGATTCCTTTGAGAAGCTATCTATAATACTTTGGATTTGAGTTACACTCAGACTAGATATAGCATCTGCACTATATAACTTAACTCGAGTAAGTTTTTTCTTTCCGATTTTCACGAATAACCTGTATATATTTCTAGCTCTCTGGGTTTTCTTACGCAAATTCGTTTCAGTGATACCCGGAAGATGCTTTACGACCTCACTATATACTCGACTTCTAGCCATTTGATCATTAACTGCCTTATCATTAGACCTTATTTCCTTGACCTTATTTTCGAATCCTTCTGCATAGTTCTACCAACACAAAATTTCATCTTGGTTAGCCTTTGTCACACGTTTTTCTGCTAAACTCGCTTTTTGATATAATCGAGCTAAACTCTGTCTTCAGAGCCCTCATAGTCATCATCCTCATTAGTCTCTCCTTTGATTGGTGTGGATAGTTCTTGTAAGACTTTGCAATTTATCCCGATCACGGTCAATTTTTGGGGATGATTGTCTTGATGAACGGGTTTTTGTGGTATCATTTGTCTGATCCTCAGAATTAGATGGCTTCGACCCCTTCGTAAAATCTTGCTCAACATATACATTGCTACTCTTATCAGGGGATGTGACACGGCCAAGATTTTCGTTAGCTTGGTTTCCTGAATTCTCTGGTGTGGTACTAATATCTTCGATCACAATGGGGCTTGTGGCACGATTACAGGTAGAATTATCGGGAATGGACTGGTTGCTTGATCTTTTGTTAAAGCTTTATCCGTTTGCTTCCCTTGATCCGCAAGAGAAGTCTCATCTACTAACCCTAGTGTACTCAAAACTTCTAATTCATCTTCATCTTCGATAGTGATATCACTTCGCTGGGATGCTTTTTTCCCGAGATCTTGATTCTTAAGCACTATATCATACTCGCCAGAAGCGAGTACAAGTTCCTCTCTAATAATTTCAATGGTTGTGGGGCAGGTTGGACATGTGGGAAATCGTATATAATGTTTTTCGAGGCATGTTCGATGTAGTATATGTCCACAACTTAGTACGGTGAATTCTTGAAATCGAAAGGTCGGTATATTTTTATCGCAGAGTTTGCACGGTTTAAGTTTTGGAATTTCTACATCATCAGGAATTTTGGAGATGCTTCGTAGAAAATTTAATGAAAGTGCTTCGAGTTGGAAAACATCTGTTCTCTCTGTATGGACTTCTGAGGCACTCGGATAAACCTCGCTGGCCATATCGATAAGTTTGAGATCGTTCCGGCCTTTCTATCCATATACCTATATATTTTCTGCGTACAAGAGCTAAAACAAAATTAGTTTATAAGCCGAAATTACACGTCTCATATTTGCTCATCTCGGACCGAGTGATCCAAAATAAAAACATTCTTACTATCCTTAGTATAGAAAAATGGCCTTCTTGGTCGGTTTTATTGGCGCAAAAAATAAATTACACAAGTACATATGAAGCGAGAAATCTACCGATTATTCTGTAAATTTTTTGATCCTAGCCTTCTTACTGCTGAGGAATTATCAACACTAATTCGATCCTTCAATAATCCAATACCCGTCTTAAACCTTTTCGAATAGAGTCAAGATCTTCTTTAAGGGCGTTTTGGAGAGATTTATTTGATATTCGCTTTTACTGGTACAATAAATACCATCCGTAGTAAAAACGATAAAATGCCATTCTGTAGCTAAAAATGTTATGATTAGTGAAAAAAAATCAAGGAAAATCTGAAGTTTCAGCTGGGACGCCTCTGCCAAAAATTATTCCAAAAAAATCACATAAATACCTGTAGAACTATCCCATAGAGATAATCGTAATCATCATCCTTGAAAGCTTCATCTGCTGTACGCTTCTTTTTATTAGTATGGTACGCACTTTCTAGCTGCATGATATTCTGGAGATAACCAATTTCGACATTGCGAGGCTTCCCTTCATAAGATCTTCGTTTCCTTTGATGACATAATCGACACGTCCAGATACCTCCTCACCAGAAACTGCTTTTTGATATGATATGTAGATTTTTTCTTCATTGGTAATTCGTCGAACGATAGACAGAGATGCGTTTAATATTGATGTAATGAATACACAGCGAGTAGCTTCGTTGGCGTTGGTCTGCATTGTTTCCAAATTCGAAAGTCTTAGCGTTATTTCGTTCATGCATTGTTCAAGGGCTTTGTCATTATCATCGAACACTGTACAATGGAAAAAATCAATTATTACATATCTGGAATTTTGATCATGAATTTTGCCAAGAAATTTGCGAGACCCGGGGTCGCGCGGTCCCAGAAAAATACCACATACCCGGATTGAATTGTTTGATGCTTGTTATATCCTCTCCATTGACTTTATATTTACGGAGCACGTCTTTTAATTCCTCCAGAGTTTTGTATGACGAGAAACTTCTCAATTTTTGCTCGGTAATTTCATCTAGGAATTTTGCAAGCCTTGTTGCAGGACCTAATGCAAAACCAATACTACGAAAATCTTCCTTAGTCAACTCAAGAAAGTCGGATCCAGCTATTTTTTCCTTGCGAAAGATTGCAGTCATCGTCATCGAGCTTTAGGTCTCTTCTCCGCAAATATTCGACTAATTCTTCGGTACCTAAATCCTTGACCACGTCTGCCATCGTGCGAATTGACCTTTCTTCCGTCAAGGTAGAGGATGTGGAAATTGGTGGGGAAGGTGAAGAAACGCTGGGTGAAGACATGTTATCGTTTTATATTGGTATATGGCGTTAAAAAATCTGGTTTTATGCAAGAAGCTATTAAATTTTTATTTTTGGCGATGGAAGTTACACGAAATGAGCAGGAGACAGTTACGCAAATAGGGGAACCGTTAAAGCGTTGTACCCACGTGACATATGTGGCTGGTATCCATTTCGAATGGCGATCCGCCGCCGTAG